ACTTAAGTGAATTTTGGTTTTATTAATTTTAACAGCATTTACATACACTTGAAAAATGTTAGGTTTGTTCTGTCTGTATTTAGAGCAGGAAAGAAAATGGTCTTCAGAAAGTAGGATGTGCTTGGTGGATTCAGACTTGGCAGAAACTCTCAGCACTTCCCCAGGGTCGCAGAGCTCACAGATGATTAGAAATTACTTCTGTGATGTAGGGAATATAAGTGCAAGGTATTATTATTATTATTGTTAATTACTGTAATTACTTAAGACCAGATGCTATAATAGTATTCATTTTAAATGGCATTCTGCCAACAGCAGGTGAATATTTAAAACCATTTTCCCGGTGTACTTACTAAGCCCTTTCTCTGCTATCACTGTAGCTAAGGAAAAAGTGGTTTATTTAGAAATGAAATCCAGATGGTCTCAAACAGCTCGGTAGTCATGTAAAGTTATTAATGTAACTGTACAACCTTGAAATACACAACCATTATTGTCAAAGCAATGTAATCCCAATCTGGTAGAGTGTACATTTTTGGAATTATTATTTTACCTGATAAGTTACTGAACTTCATAAATCATATCCTTTTCTGAAGTACTAAGTACTCTGTTTCGAGGTGTGAATGTGTTCAATTCATAGAATTACAATTTACATAAAACTCTGAGTTGTTCCACTGGGGTCTCATGTTTAATTTAGGGAATGGAGGTAAATTTAGCAGTGACACTAATAGCTCTCCGGTTTGTAACTTTCTGGAATTACAAAGTTTATTTGTTACATCTTGTAAGTGGAATTTTTTAAAATCCTACTTGGCTCATTATTTTGTGAACATTTTTCAGGCAGAAAGATGAAATGAAATTAGCTACATTCTACCAATGTGGGATTGATTAATCCTGGGCAGGTCAGTGGCTAAAATAATTATCTTAATACCTTACATACATTGTTTATTTTAGTCTCCTAACTCTCAGAACAGATAGGCCATTTTATAGATGACCATCTGTGATTCATAAAGATTGGCTTGTCCAGGGGCACCTGGGTGGCTCAGATGGTTGAGCATCTGCCTTCAGCTCAGGTCATGATCTCAGGGTCCTGGGATCGGGCCCTGCATTGGGCCCCCTGCTCAGCGGGGAGCCTGTTTCTCCCTCTCCCTCTGCCGCTCCCCCTGCTTGTGCTCTCTCTCTCTTTCAAATAAATAAAATATTAAAAAAAAAAAAGATTGGCTTGTCCAAGGGCTTATAGCCAGTAAGTGAAACAGCTGTAATGTTTATATAATTTTAACCACCTCAACTTTGTACCTTTTGTACAAAAGTTTCAGGAATGGCCTCATGGCAGCTGGTAAGGTTTGGCTACATCCACCAAGCATGGCTAGTGGAAACATGAATGTAACAGCAGTTACAAGGAGCACAGCCTTGAAAGCAAAGCCCTGTGACTTGTCAATTTCAGTACTGGGAGTTCTCGAGTTTGTCTATACCTGGACTACTGTAGTATGTAGCATACAGGTCATTTTGTTAATTTAATTTATTTTTTTCCTAATATGCAGGTAAATTATAGGACTTTTCCAATGCTGTGGATGTTTTCCCTGATTGTAGAAGTAATATATACCTTTATTGTAAAATTTTTAGGAAAGGATATAGAAAATTAAAGTTACCCATAATGCTTCTGCCAGAGAGAACTAGTGCATTCCTTATTTATTTGTAAATATTATGTAAACATAGAGTTGAGTTGATTATAAGTCATATCTTTTTTTTTTTTTTGTAAGTAATCTACGCCCAACGTGGGTCTTGAACTCATGATCCCGACATCAAGAATCCCATGCTCTCCTGACTGAGCCAGCCAGGTGCCCCATTTTTTACTGTTTTTACGTGACATTTTCTTATGTCATTAAAAAGCTTTAATTCATCATGTCACATGATTATAAAATATTCAGCCATATGGCTCTACCATAATTCATTTAATCATTCCCCCTTTAATTGCACGTTTAGGTTGTTTCTGCAGACGAATAACTGGAGGCATTATGTTTAAATGCTTACTTTGTCAGAGCATGGTGCAGAGTTCAGAGAGGACCAAGGAGCAGTGAAGGGAAGTAGTGGAGACAGACAGATGGGAGTGGCCCTGCCTCTTTCCCCATTTCCTTATGACTGACACAAAGTTCATTTTGTTTTTTTTTTGTAGTTTTTAATTTTATTATGTTATGTTAGTCACCATACAATACATCATTAGTTTTTGATGTAGTGATCCATGATCCATTGTT